CCTATATAACGGCTTTGTTAAAAACTTCTAAAAGTGCGATAAATCAATAACTAAATGCGTCAGATACATTAAATTTTACATTCGGGATGACAAAAGCGGATTTCAAAGGATCCTTTGTCAATTTGGTAAATACAATAATTTTAACAATTCTATCTCACAATGGTAAAATGAGCGAAATCGGACTAGAACCACGTCTACTTCCTATCAAGCACAATTTTATATTCCGTATGATTCTTTCACTTTTCAGTATACAAAGAATATATTAGAACAAGACTTTGCACAAATAGTGCTTTTGAGATATACCACCTCAAATCTAAAAATTGTGAAAATCGGATCATAACTGTTCAAGCCCCCAGTTACGGAATATAGGGCACCAGTCCGTAGTGCTAAATTTTTACCAGAAATACCGGTCAATCTGTGAGATATATTATTGCAATTCGGAGAAAGTATCTTTCTGATAATAGTGTGCCAGTATGTCAAAAATGGATTGAATCGGGTCAATACTTTCCTTAGCCCCCATATATTTTTTCGAAATATTTTCAAGCTTCCGGTTTACTTCATACTGCATATATCGGCTAATATCTGAGATATTTTAATAAAATTAATTGAATGTATTTTCCTGATAATACCTTATCTTTGTGCCTAAAATGAGTAAAAATAGGTGGAAACTTGCCCTAGCCCTTATATAACTAAATTTTCAAACATCCGGTGGATCCGGTGGTGAGGTACCATAATGAAATACAGGGAGTATTTTATTCTGTTAATAGTGGAAATAGATAGAATTGGGTCAATATTTTCCCAATTTCTCATACACCTAATATAAGACTTTCAAACTTCCGGTTGGCTTTATGCTATTTATATCAGTCAATATATCTAAGCAAAATTTACCGAACGTATAATATTGGATATACTATAGTTTAACGTATTATATTTATAATATATACATTATTATATATATATATAACTATAGCTTAATGTCAAAAATATGCGAATTCAGTCGAATACCCCAACTCCCAAATACTACCCATAATGATTTTCGTTAATCTACCAAACCTTCTCCCGAACATGTTCAATGTGTGTATTATATATTTAGAAAATTGAATGAAAATCTGATCTCAAGTATACCTTAGCAATGTCAAAATTAATTCAAGAAGCCCATCCCTTTCTTTGTCTTCAATATAGCCTGTATAATAATTTCCGACTTTCCACCTGACAAAATGTGTGATACTTTAATTAAATAAAATGACTGCTTGACGTTTCCATATCAACTAATTATACAAGTTAATAATTATACTAATTATATATTAATATATTTTTTTGGAGATTCATCTTGATTCTGGAGATACAGTAGATTTTAAAAGCATAAATGAATGCTTGGTGCGATCATTTACGAATTTTTATTCAAAAAATGCAGTTTTTCTTTTACGGGCGGCAAAAAGTAATGGAAACAAGTAAGAAAGAGCTAGGTCGGGTGTAACCGGATATTTTATACTCGTGCAACTTCAAAGCAAAAAAAAACAGCCTCAGTTTTTAAATAAACCCTGTGAATTTAGTTATTATAGCTCTAAACCTATTAGAGGGCAGCAACACGCCCACTTTTTCACAAAATTTTTAACAGCAGATATCGTTTTGTGGGCGTGGCAATGGTCTGATTACGCTCATCTACTATACCAAACTTCTTATGGTGCCAAGTAACATGTGTAACAAGTTTCATCAAGATATCTCAATTATTACTCAAGTTACAGCTTGCACAAACGGACGGACAGACAGTCAACTTGTCTCTTCATTTTGATAATTTCTATATAAGCATATATAACCTTATATCTATCTAGACTAGTTCTATGTGATAAAACAACCGTTAGGTGAACAAAACTATTATACGTGGTAGCAACATGTAGCAAGAGTATAAAAACATCGAGTTATCATATTCCAAGATGTAGTTGGGTATGAACTGTTATATTCAGTTATATTCAAAATCGACTTGAGCAGTTTTGTATTGAAAGTATTATGCAAACGTACATATGTACATACAAATGAATGTGCGATATATTCTTTCAAAGGAGCGGCCCTGCACGAAATCGGATGCAGCGAATAACTATATATGATTCAGATATTTTGTTACATTTGTAATGAAAACCAATTTTAGAGTTCAAACAAAGCAACAAAACTTAATACTTGATGTAAAATGTCGTTCGAATGGAATATGATGCTCTAACGAAAATCTCCTTCGATTCGAGACCAATTGGTGGAAGTAAGAACGCTCACGCATCTAATGGATGGACTAAATGTTTAGCAACCTGTCTGCAGTTGAGATATACAACTGACGTGACGTCACAAAAGATAGGGACAACTGACGAGTTTTTGTGGCCCAGACTACGATCTTCGGGAAATTCAAAACTAAACATTTAAAAAAAATAAAAAATAAACTCTGTTTGCAAAATTTTTCATTTGTTTTTGCTTCAAAAGTGATCTAAAACTTTTCCTTCATGTTCGTAATGTATATATAATAGTTTTTTGTGCCTTTTAAAATAAAATTGGAATGAAGAACATCGTTTTAATATTTTATCCGTAATTACTTGAGCCAATTTGAAAAACGTGGTTTCAAGAAAACGCCGTTTAAAATTTGCTTTTAAAAGTCAGTCGACTTGGCGCTAATCATCAACAAGTGGAATCTCTTCCACAATTTTTAAAATCGGCTTTTTAAAATTGGCAATAACTTCCTTAGAGCATATACCTAACGATTAAGACAATAAGAAAAGTAAACAGATTTATAACCAGCTAAAAGATATCTACTATTGTACTTTCAGAGAACTCGTTCTATTTCTAAATTTTTTTTTTTATTAGGGTTCCATTTTCAATTCTTTAATAAGTAAAAAGTGTTTATATAAATAAAGGACGATCAGTTGCTGTTGTTAAAATTCTGCCCAAACCAAATCGATTGCCATATCCGATCAACATCATTCAATAGACAATGACAACCCTCTAAGTTAATTTTCGCTTTTAAAATTGTTTCATAAAAACAATCTTATTAATTCTCTTAAAAATATATAGGGAATGAATTGTTAGTATTTCCTGCACGATAGGTCTAGTTACATGAATGCGTTGTATGGAGGTGTATGAGTATCCAACATACAATTGTTGAATATTACGTATACGACATGCAGGACGAATATTTCTCATACCACCAAGCAAGAATCGATATTAGGGATGCTCTATAGAAATATGGTATATGTAATATTGTAACTAAATATTTTTATATGCTAAAAAATTATATAAATATATATTAAACTAAAGTTACATTGAATTGGAAAGGAATATGATTTCTTGATTTCTATACAGAAAAAAAATGAAAAAAAAAAAAAATAAGCAATTATACCAATAATCGAATATAACATCCATACGGCATGTTCATACCAATTTCACTGACATTAACTACTTATATAACTTTTTTTACAATTTACAAACAGCAGAGTGATCAAGTTTTAGAATAGAGTTCGGTCACGTAATTAGGATCCTCGCTAAATCTTTTCTTTTGTGAGGTGATTTAATATACATGAGAAAAGAAGTTCTATATCGATTTAAACGCGGTTAGCAATTAACGGTAAAGTGGTTTCAAATATTTTTGTTGAATTACGGTAAAGTGATTTCAAATATTTATGAATATAAGTTATAACTCATAACCCAAATATACAATATATTGAAGAAAATCTGAATACAACTTAAACTTTTGACCCAAGCAATTTTTTCGATTGGTTTTCTGATAAAAATGAGTGTAACAATAATTTTATTATAAACATGAAATTTAATAAGTTAATTTAATTATTTTTTCAGAAATTATTTTCAATAAATTTTCATGTTTCTGTAATTCGGTTATGTTAAGCAATTATGTCTTTATACCTTTATCTGAGTTGATTTAGCCATAGTTTTTGAGCTGTATTCGGAACCGCATATATCGGACCACTATAACGCCATACAAACTGAACGATCGGGATCAAGTTCGTATATGGAATACGTTTTTATTCACGAAATTTGGCTTGGGTTATTTTCTAAGGCAATAATGCAATCTGCGAAGAAATTGTTCTGATCGCGTCACTAAAGCATATAGCTGTAATACAAGCTAACCGATCAAAATCAAGATACAATATTTATATATATTAATATAAAATAAAAATTAAACCAAAACCGATAGGTGTAGCCAACCTAATGTCGCTACAAATGCTTATACAGTCGTAAATATATAAATATACTTACATACATATGTATGTATCTAGGAAAATGCTAGAATTTCATTTTCCCTCAAATGAATAAAACCCGAATACGAATGCCTCACGTCGGAATATTTTTGTCTTTGTCGTTCGTTTCGTTTCGTCGAATTGTCGTTTCGTTTGTCAGCCAACAATTCGTCGTGTCGCTCCCACTGAAGTCGCTTGTGGCGTGGAATATTTATATAGCATGTATATAACCTTACATATAAACTCGTATGTATGTATACATGTGATTATATGTATCTGCATACATAATGGCAATGTAGCTTTGAATTTGTGTGCATATAACTCGATATGTTTCAGAGTGTGTGTGTCTTAAGTTGCTGCCGTTGCTATGCTACTTATTTCGTTGCGTATATTTGTTACTTTTGTTGTTGCTACAATGACAATGAAACGTAGTAGAACATCCTTAATAGTCAACAAAAGCAACAACTCGCATTAAGCGAAATAATAATAACAGTAACAACAACGACATGCAGCAAACAATAATTATAATGGAAACAACAACAACTTCAATAATGGCAGATGTAACACCCATACATAGCAATGTATATACTTATGTACATATATACATATACTTACATACATTACACATATGTATGTATGTATACATTTCCATACAACTGTTTTGTAACGGTTTATAAAGGTGAAATGCAGGGGCCACACTCTGACAGCGCCGAATCAGCTGTTTATGGGAAAGTTGTTTTAATGTTGGTAAGCATTCATTTCGCGTTCGTAGCTTTGGGTTCGTGTGCTGGAATTGTAATCGAGTACGGTTCGGTATAATGGAGTGATATTAAAACGGCAGTCTGCAGTTCGAGCTATAATTTTCTGCTCGGCACAGTGCAAATAGAAGGGAAATATTGAGAGCGATGGAATACAAAATTTACAAGCTTTGATGGAACTTAACCGAGTTCTAACGATGTAAATGGAAGAGGACTTCGACACTTAAATAACACTAAAAACTAAAAAACAACGTTAAAATCCTTCACAGGTGCATTTCTTATAGCTATAAAACCCTTCACAAATACAAAAGATTTCATACAAGCACTTGACTCGGAACGTTCAGTTTGTGTGGCAGCTATATGCTATACTGTATATAACTTGTCAAAATCTACTCACCTCGTTATGCTTCTCTATTTGGTTAATTTTTTCATCAATAGTAACAAACTCGAACTAGATCAGTCGAAGACGGTCCTTGTGGTTCAGTGAGCATTGATCTTGCGTGGGTGCTAATTTGGATCGCGGATAAACCAGAATCGCTGTTGGTGTTGTAACGACAGAAAACACTCCATAAGTAATTTTCAGGAATATATAATAGATATTAGATTATTTAATGGCTGTCAAGCAAAGATCGATCCATGCTAAATGCTTATTACTATGCAGGCTAATTGAGTGTACAACCAACTTTTCCTAAATATGGGACTTTTCACACCCATAATCCAATCTTTAAATATATCCATATTAGAGTCTACCTTTTAGTAATTTTATAGGTAACGGTTATATAGATATATTAAACTATATTGTATACGGTATAGTTTTAGAAATTTCAAATCAAGGCGAGAAACTACTACAAGTTAAGATGTTTTGAAGGTATAAAAATATGGACTCTAAAGTAGTATTCCAAGAATAAAGATATATTAAAGCTCGAAACACAAATGAGTAATTTTTTTCGTATCTATTTCTAGGCCCCGTAGTTTCCATATTTCTCAACGATGTCAGACATCACCATAACTACCAGTTACTTAACATATATCATATATAAATGTGTGTGTAGTGATAAATGTGGTTTCCCACGCTGACGCTGGTTTCCTAACTAATTTTAGCATTGGCGTTTCATGGCTCTGCTATAAATGAAATACATATTTAACTCTATGCGTCCTTAAATTAAATTTAACTCAGAAGGTGCAATTTGTGATTTTTTTCCGCAAGATTGTTGTTGGTAATGATACTCTCTGAACAAATTTATAAAAATTGAATGAAGGAGGAGTGAATTTCGGCGTGTTCTTTTTCAGATCCCTTCATATATCCAGATTCCCTGACCCTTAGAGCGCACTTAACAGCAAAACAATGATAACTTTAAAATGGCATTAAGCGCTACTGCTCTTGTAGTAAGCAGTGCATCGGAGATGACGATGAGAGCCACTCGTTGAACATGTTCCAGCTTCTAAGCAAGTGTAGACTTTTTGAGCGCCCTTCATCAAACGAAAACGCCATAGAAGATTATTGTTTCAAACACTTATTTTCTTATTTGAGCTTCCATAGTGTCCTGTGCTGGCAGCAAAGTGTTGTACTTCAAACTTACTTCAATTTTAAAAATTGTACATAACTTTAATTTAATTTTGTAGCTAATTTAACGTTCTAAAAAGTGGATATTATCCGTTTATTTACGTTTTGACTCTTAAAAGCTCTTACCCCTTTCTAAAGTTGAAAACTATTGCTTAAGTTCTTAGCTAGGGAGGTACATATAAATTCCAATCCAATTCAATCTAAATAAATCTCTATATTTATTTAATTGTGGATTTCGTATCTTTTGACTTATGGTTGAAATTGAAGTAACTTACATTCAACTGAACCCATCCCAACTAATCGAAACTGTTCAGGAAACTCAGTACCATATTATCCCCAAAACAAAGCTCTCTGGTCTAGAAACAAATTCTTCACAAATGCCATTTAGATAATCAATAAAGGCCGCATTTAGCTACTTCTCTCTCTTAACAGTTATTTAGATTAATTCAAACGAAGGACTAGTAGGCTGATGTCATTAAAGAACGCTTTTCGAAATGAATTGTGCTTCTTTGTGAAGTCAGAAAAAAAAGCAGTTTCTGGCACGGGTGGAGAATTCCAAAGTAACAAGTCCCTAAATTTAGACCTACTGCATATATTTCCAGTTTCCTTAGCTGTAGGTTATGCTATATTTGTTATAAAATCTGTAAATTCCTATTTTTGCAACTATATTTTTGTTAAATGTGAAACTTAATGATTGAATGTAACTTCTGTTGCAGTTGAAATGCTTTATGCTGCAGTGGCCACGAGGCAATAATATGCAAATGAGCTCTATTATTTACATAAGGAGCGATTCATGCAGGCAACTGACGACAGCACTAATTATATATGCACATATACATATATATGCTATACATATCCAAGGATTCTATTATTGCATGACTAGAAATCATTTTAACAGCTGCATTGGTTAAAAATAGAATACACAATGGTTCATGCGATAATTCTCAACAAATGCAACTCTGGAACAAATAACAGCATTGGAAATTGGACTGGTAAGAGGACTGAGTTTTATGAAAGTGCTCTAAAAAAGAAACATTGGTAAAATTAAACGCGATTTGACTTTTTATCTCGAGCAAATGTTTTCATTCGCCTAAAAACTATACATGGGGACATATAATTGCATTCTTCCGTCTAAGTTATCGAAATATATCCATAGTTAATAATATTTGGAGAAAGACATGTCGAAATAGGTTAGCTTAGGTGATATTGCCCGGCTGTAACGTCATACATAGACCTGCTGGTCCTTAGTAATGCCAGAAGAGTGCTCAGTTTAATTTGAGCTGAAGTATTCGTCATACAGAACGTCTATCCTTTTTGCGAACTGTAAGAGATCTAATTTTGATACTTTATCTAGTCCCTTAATAATATGCAGCTGCTACAGCTACTGTCTCCCTGCTTCTAAGCACATTATCTGACGTAATTCGATGTGAGATTATTGCCTTAATTGCCGCCTGACTGACTATCGACGTATATATCTATATTTTTTATGTTGTTAACTATATCAGCCGCTTTCCTGACCGCAAGAACTTACACCTGGAAGATACTGCAGTATTTCGGCTTCGAGCAATAGTAATTTTTGGTCCGTCTGTATAGATGTTGTAAGTTCCACTGGCGAATCGCATGCACCTGCCTTCTATCGAAATAATACTTAAGCAACTTTTTCTCGTTGATATGTTAGGATATAACCACAAAATCTCTATATCGTCTTCTAGACACTTCACAAGTTTCTATCTATTTTGCCACTTTATTTTACTTAGCGATTATAGAAATATAATATTATTTATTGTACCTTTTGCATTATATTCGGGAACAATCCCATCTGCATCTCTCTTGTGTTTCTTTTATAGAAATGTGTTGCCAGGACACTCAATAATTTAAATTGTAAACCGTTTCAGTTACCCCCCGCATCTATTAACGGAAATAGCACAATTAAGGTATTAATCGACTAAGAATAGGCGCATCATTCTAATTGAGGGGCTGACACAGCAACCTATGGTCACTTAGATTTTCAACACCCATAAATAAGCTTGTGTGTCAGACAGGACAATTACAATGCCCACAGCCTAATATTTGCATCAATGCAGTGAATGTAATATGAAACCTTTTCAGAAGTGCAAAATGCATACATACATTTCTACAAATCCACAACCGAACCAAATACTGTGGCTGGTATGTACAGTACTATATATGTTTAAAGCGTCGGTTCGTTTGTCATGTCATAAGTATTTTGACACTAACAGCCATTGTACGTTATACATTTTGACACATAGTGAGTATCTCTGAGCTGAGTCGGAGAAAGGAAGTCCCGTAACTCCAATCCGACAACCCCCGATTGAAAGGTCAAGTAGAAAGTACTTGACCTTCTACACAGTTAATGGCTACTCAGTTTGAATCCCGGTTTCGCTCGAAATATAATTCATTCGACGAAGAGTGTTTAAATAATGACGGTTTTGTTAAAATTTCAATGAAAATGCTGCCGAAAATGTCTTTTCTATCAACAGTAAAGTCTACAGGGACATGATAAATACATACTGTTTGTGGTAGGGAATTAATTATATGGACTTGAATGGTTCTTGCCTTCAACAGAATGGTACACCAACCTCATAGCCCACACTATCGATCTTAAACGCGGCAAGTTTGAAAATCTTGTCCTCATCTAGCCTGGGAAAATAAATTGACTACCTCAGTATCGAATAGTCACATTCGTCAGTTAGCTTCTGAAATTCTAAAAAATAACTTACAAGCCACTACTTGTCTATGGGAAAGGTATACGCTATTTTAAGTACAAATGCCAACTCCGTAGGATTTTGAAAACTAAATTTCCACCAATCTGTACGAATCGAGTATTTCATGTAGGAGCTACAAGCTCTTATCCGTTTAGTCACATTAAGGGCATAATGATGAGATGTTGTACAGTTCGCGGACCTGAAGAGAGAGAATGTTGTATAAAAAAACTTTCATCTTATCATTAAATGTTCTGCATATGCTAGTAAAGAGTTTTGTAACTCCTCTAATGGGTTAGTAATTTTTAGTCTATTCCCGAATAGCTGGATGTCAAACTACCGTAGCGAAAGATATAAATTGACCGATGATTGTCGGATATTTCTTGATTAATTTTTAATTTGGGAGTTGTAACGTATCACTGACTGATAGAAGGTTTCAAGTCCTAGACGTCCATTCGCACGGCAATCGACTTTTCATAGTTGATATGGATCCGAATTTTTATCCAGCCAAAGACTATGAACATGGCAGTATTCTCCAAAATTATTTGTTTGCCACCACAACAACAACGACAGTCTATTTATTTCACTATTAATGGATCAATAATTCATAAATTAATGATTTTAAATAATTAAAAGTTCATTAAATTTTAATATCACCCCAACAAAATATTTTATATCATAAAAATAAACCAATTCCAAAAAATCGCAACTTGAGAGATATCTCTGTAAGAATTAACCGATAACCAAGAAATTTAAAAGCACACATTGTTGACATTATGACGTATCAACAAGTGCTCATGGACATGTACTCTACTCGTACATTCATTCAAAATGCCACCAACGGAGTTAAGCTCTAAAGTGTGTGCTGTTAAACTCCCCAGCCACGTATAAAAACCGTTTGCGGCGAGTAGCATGCCGACAACATGCTCCCGAGTAATAAAAACAACAGCTGATATGATAACAAAACTTCGAGCCTTCGTGACACGGATTATCTACATTTAGTTGCATAACTACGCTATAGAGGTACGTACGGATGTCGATATGTTTAAGTTTGTGTTAAAGGTTATGGAGAAAAGGAGGCATGTCTGGCCAGCTAGCAATTCAGAAAAATTACTCGAAAGCAGTGATTCTCTACAACGGCAGCGACAAATCGAGCGAATGTGTGGCCATTGAACAGCAGATCTTTTCACGCTTTATTAAAATCAGCGCTGCAAAGGCAATAAAGGAGGAGTGTTTACGGGTCATAATGAAACAAATTGTAAAGAAAAATTATACGGTGCTGCGTAAATTTATGTGAGTGAAACAGCTGATTACAGGCATGTAGCGCATGCCAATAATGAAGAGTTGAAACAGTGAGATCTAAACTCGACTATTTATGAAAAGGAATAACGACAAAGCATAGTTACAGGGTTGCAAAGTAAGTGAAAAATTTAAATTTTCTTTCCTAAATACCGTATGATAATATAAATATTTTCGTCTACATCTTTTGATGAAGTTATTAACTGTCTTTTGTCTTAAAGGCAGTGAATTAGAATAAAATGAGTTTTACAAAATTTTAGATCTACTCTAAAAGAATTTAAAATCAACTTACCATATTCGCAAACCAACTGAAATGAAAACAAATGAGCTCTGTCTTCTGGAAATCATAAAAGATCGTAAAAGCTGAAGCAACAACAAACCAAGACTTCGTTTTTTTTAGGAACAGGGCTTCAGAGTTCAACCAAACAAGTTGAATCATCTCAGAAAGGCTCGTGAACTTTTATAAAAAGCATTATTTTTGGCCGTAATGCACTCGAGATCCTCTAAGAATAATTATTTGATTTATTATTACACAATTTTGTATTACATTTTAACTACGAATCATCTTACTTCTATTTATTAAAAACTTGATAAAGCAGATTTAACCATGGAAATACTACTGAATTATTGTAGTTTCTCTGAGTAATTCGCTCTCTTCACATTATTATTTCCAAAAAACCCAGTTAGAGTTGGAGTAAAACTTATAGAATCGAAAAATTTCCATACCCAAGAATTTTCGACAAAACCAGAAAATAACCTCTAAATGTATTGCACATCTCGTTTAAAAATTCGTATCGTAAAACTGTAACTCCATTAAGACCTCTATTAAGACTACTACAAATTAGCTGAGACCGACACTGATCCCAAATATAGGTTAGGTGTAAATGAATTGAAACATTCCATTTTTTCACTACGCGTAGGCCTTGTAAACAAGCTATATTGTATAGTATTTTGCCATATTAAAATTAAATTGAGCTAACTTTTCCACACATGTGGCAACTCTAACTAAACTATTTTCTACAGCAACAGCGTTAAAACTTACGATTTTAATACAAATATTGTAATATTTTAGATATGCAATTTAATTTGATTTAAAAAAATTCAAACAGGTGGCAGGCCTTCTATAAAATATTTTCTTATAAATCTGTTTGAACTTCTTGTCTTTAATAGCCATATTGGCGTTATATATATACAAGTATTGTTTTATTTTTCAAATAATTTAAATGAAGCTAAACAGCTGGCAACCTTTCTCAAAATGTATTTTCTACATTCAACTATAACTTCATAGTTCAGTGATATTGTAATATTTAAATTACTTGATTAATATAATTTGAAAATCAAACAGTTGGCAACCCTTACCAGGAATTAGTTCGATGCTTGATTTTCTTAAATCTTTCTCATTTTATATCAAAATTTTTAAAATGGTTTGTTATAATTTATTTTATTTATACATTAAATTGATTAATATTATTCGAACATATGGCAACCCTTTCAAAATATTGTTTGACTATTCATATATTTATGCATAGAATATTGCTTCAAAAGAATTACTATTTTTCTTGAGACAATTTACATCAACTTGGCAACTCTGCTGCCTTTTTTATTGTTACTGTTATAAATATTTTTTTTCACACATGTCACTAGCGAAAAAAGGTTAGACATACGCGCAGGCAGACATATTGTCATTACGACCGGAAGTTAGACACTTGTGACATGCAAGCAGACAAATCGACAGTTCTCAATTGTAAAATGACGCCGCTATAACAACATGTCTATGCTTATCTATGTTTGTGTGTATGTAGCAATGTGGCAAGAGAACAGTTGAAAGGCCATAACACTTTCTTAAACAAGTGTGTTTGGGAAAACGCACTCACACACACCTACTGACATTTACAGACACACATTTTCATACAAACGCAAAGTCGTGCAGAAAAAAGCACAACTTAAACGACGCATTGACTAATGATGGATGGCACAGTCAGACGTCTGTCCGGACCTGCCTTATTCTCTTGTCTTCTTGTGTTCTTTGCCTCTTTTTCTGCACATTTTAACTATGCTTTATAAACACATTAAAAATATGCGCGCTGATGGAGTGTCGCCAATGGGGGACACGGCCCGCTACACATGCATCTGCGTTTGCAAATGAGTATGTGTGTAGTATGCCTGTGCGAGTGTGAGTGTCTGTAACAAAAAATAAAAATAAGGAGTTTTCAAGGTCGTCATCGTTGTTGTTCGTATATATAATATTAGGAGCAGCGAAGTCTCCAACCATTTCTTGGCGCATGTGGCTTAGCATAGGTAGAATTTTGAGGGAGGAGGAAGCTGAAGTACCCCTCTGTGTCTATGAATAAGCGTAAAAAATGTAAATAAACAAGACATACAAACAAACAAATACAAACGCGCATGAAGGCAAATAAGGCTGCAAGAACTGCAATAATAATATACATACGAGTATGTATGTAGTACAACAACAAAGCGATTGCAAAATATTCAAAAACCATTTACTCGAACATGCTTTAATAATTTATTTTTGTTTGTATGTATGTGTGCGTATAAGCACTTTTGCATGTCATAAATCACATGGGGCATACGTGGTCTGCTGTGCCGCTTCACTGCCTCAGACATCACCTGTGGTCCAATATAATTACGTACAAATGTGTATGTATGTATGTATGTATGCATGTCTTTGTTGTGTCTGTGGCATACCCTTCAACTGGGTGGTTGTCTAGCTACTCTCTGCCCGATTGCATGCATTCCGTTGTCATCCGTTGTGCTTATTTTGTTTTTGTTGTTATTTTCGTGTATTGTTTTGTTTTTTAGCCAATGGCTTGCATGGTGAGCGCATTTCGGTTAGTCTAAAATGTGGCATAAACAATACAATCGAGCTCATACTTTCCTAAATCCGTATATTTTTACGTGTTTGCTTGGCAACCTGCGACCATGACTCGTCGGCGGTGACTACGTCACGGAAATCTGCATAAATAAAAATTCCTACAGTTTCGTTATTCGTCATGTGTTCGTTGGAATTTGTGGTGTATGTACATAAGTACACATGCTTAGTAAGTGCCGTTTCACATTGGGATGCAAAAGAGTCTGATGTTTTTCAAATTTTCTTTTGGTGTCGCTCTGGGCATTTACACGGTCAAAAAGAGTCCAGCAACTCGAGTCTAGTTTTTCTGCATTCCTTTTCACAAAATGTTCGTAAATATTTGTGCGGTTCGACTGCGCAACACCGCGCAACACTGCGTGCTGCGTATTTCATTTGTATGTTGAGATGATGGTCACACATTTTGCTTGCAATGAATTACCATGAATATGGTAGAACAATATGCATAATACAAGTACCTACCCGCTAAATAGTTTCAAAAAAATACTAAAGACGGGAATTCCCTAATCCACAATAATGTATTGAATATCCGCTACTAATATTTTCAAGGCCAAATTTATAATAGGAATTTCCTAATCTTTAAGTATTAAAAACTCATAATTTCTTTACTCCGTATTAAAAATTCATAATTTCTTTACTCCATAATCTATATCTTAATTTTCTCCTTATTTACAATTTGTCATAATATTTCTATTATTCTATGCATACGTATTTGCATATTACATACAAAAATAGATAACAGAACTCAAATTTGCGATCGAATTCATTTGAAACCAAGCGCTCTTGCAACCATTCAAAGGATTTGAAAGTGAAAAGGAATGCTGAAAAGGGTAGCAGCGAGCTGTTACGAACAAGAACACAAAGCGTGCCACCCGAACACGAGTGGCACGGTCCCTTCGTCTTTCCTCGTCGTCCCCTCACCCACAATAAACTGGTATGAGACTCTTTTGCGTCCCAATGTGAAACGGCACTAATGTTTACAAACATATACAAATACAATATTTACGTTGTTTAACCCACTACTTGTGGAGCGACAAGTTCATTCGGGGAGGAATTGGTAAGTCTGCATGTTATCGTTACCCAGTGAAAGAGATTCGATAATTTTTCAATCATAACCCTTCCATGAATCGTCACTGCTCAACTCGCTTAGTTTGAGTTCTGAGAAAAGCAATAAAATGGTAATCTAGCTAAATTGTACATCAACATATAATAGAGTAATTTATATACTGATACATATGTAATGTTAAACTAGTATAACCTTTTACCTTTCTAGAATCATGCAGTCTATTTGATTTATGCCAGTTGTTCCTTCGATTCGCCTTCTCTGAAATTTGACTCTTCGTTCGAAGACAGCTACAGTTATTAAAAATTAAAAACCATCACCCACAGTAATAAAAACATAAACAATTTTCTAATTCGTATGTATGTATGATAACTATTCAA